CCCGTGCGTTGAGCAATCCGCTACAGTACCCGACTGCAAAGATACTTCTGGCAAGAGCAAAGGAGATCATTATCACAGACTCTGATAGCTAAGTAATCTCCGACAGTGATACCTTCACCAAGGATGGTTCATTTTTTGCTAGTCAATTGAGAATGTGGCAGTATATCGTTTCAAACAGCTTCCCACTACATTATCTGTGGCTGAGTGCTCTCTTTACCCAGGTACGCGGAATACCCCGGTTCTTCGGTTTCGCTCAAAATATTCAAATGTGTCTTTTCTTTAGTTTTTGGTCGTAACTTGCTTCAAGAAAAGCAAACAGAAGAACAATGTGCCGTTCCGAAAGGTAATGTCGATCAGTTTCACTCACAGAATTCCAAAGATCTCGCAGGTCTAGGGGGACATGACGGAGAGGGCGGGAGACTGCTGATTGAGCTGCCCAGCCCTATACTGCGCAAAGTAGTGGCTATATCACGAGAAAAAGATTCCTCGGCTTTGGACGCGATTCGTACGCTTGCGCTTGGCTTGTCCGCTACGCTAGCGGGACTTTGAGGCATAAGATGGGGAGGGGGTGGGGAGAGGAAGGTTGCCAGCAAAATCATTCCATTGTGTTAGAACGATACCAATAGCTTGAACTGGTAGTTTATCCGCGGCGGATTTCTTCCGCACTTATCACGTCTACTGGTCTGTAGGGGTGCTTTGCAGAAAGTCAGAACAAACGCAGGCGCTATGCGCCTGGGGAAGGACCACCCTGAAGCGGAACTAGACCAGGTTATGTTCTGATACGGAAGGACTTTTCATGCTCTCAGAACGTCAGTCGAAGGTGCGACGTTCAGGCTTGTCAGGGGGGGGGGTGAATTTAGCGCTGCGTCAGCCCGTTCTCCAGCAAATGTTGAAGCGAAGCGACAACACCTGGTGGGAAACGGGCTGGCGCTGCGCCAAACCCAGCCTTCTGACACGCCCCTGTGTCTGCAGCGAAAACATTCATAAGTCCAGTACGCAATAGGCGCAAAGAAGTGTGCCGGCAGGTAGGAGGTAGGTAAGTAGGTAGGCAGGCAGGTAGTCAGGTAGATAGGAGTACTGGACAGCTGCTGGGAAATAGCTGAGTTATAGTCAGCGGCTAGCTATGCAGGGAACACAGCGGAAATCAGGTACTATCCTTCAGAGAATGTGACCGTGATTGTACCCTTAGGCTGCGTTCATGCTTTGCGGCAGCGTCCACCAGCATCTACCGGCGTCAACCAGCGACCGGAAGTAGAGAGCAAGGGGAAGCAGGAGGTAGCAAACAACCGGATTAGGCGTCACTAGATTGCGGCGTGTGCAACCGCGCATGTAGCGCTGAGCAAACAACCGGATTAGGCGTCACTAAATTGCGGCGTGTGCAACCGCATCGTACAGCTGCACTACATCGTACACAAGATTTCATAATTCGTGCTTTAGCAGCAGCAAGGTGAGGTTGCACACGCTGCAATTTTGCGACGCCTAATCCGCTGTTTGCTACCCTCCTACTTCCCCATACTCTCTACTCCCGGTCGCTGGTGAACGCTGGTAGACGCTGGTAGACGCTGGCAGACGCTAGATCGATATCTATACTTTCCTAGTCGCTGACGCTGCCGGACGCTCGGAACGCTAGTGGTCGCTGGTGGACGCTGCCGCAAAGTATGAACGCTGTGTTACAGACCTGCTATATGAGACACCTAGCTGCTATGTCATCCGTCAGCCCTTTTATGTAGCAGGATTGGACCTCGAGAAGGGCGCAGCATGTGGGGGAAGCGTAGCATATGATGGAAAAGGAAGCCGCGGCGTCTACCGGGGAATCAAAACCAGTATAATAACGTTATTTTTACCCTATTTACGTTTGTCTTTTTCAGGGAACGACCCAGGAAAACATAGGCGGATCCAAAGGCAACCCTTCTTTGATAATTCTGAATGTTTGACAGTCACGTGGACACGATATTTTCAGAAGTGAGCAACGCCAGCAGCGATGCCTCAAAAGAGAGCAAAGAACCCAGACTACAATTGGATAAAGAAGCCAAAATTGGTCGAAACCAGGATTCGCTCAAAAAAATTGGTAAAGACGCGGAACCGGTTGTTTTCAACATGGAGAGTGTCAGGAGACGTATTGAAGAGAACAGGAGTATCGTAAAAACAGATGTGAGCGATTTTCTTTCAGTTCTTGCAGGTTGGCAACATCAATTCCTGTAGGCAGGCACAGACAGAACGCAGACACTTACCATGGAGTGCAGTTCGGCGACCGGGGGGGGGGGGATATTTTGCACTTTTGCTACTTCCTCGTCGACTTGTCCAGCCATCTAGAGAGCTATTCGGGAGCTTACAAGAGTTGACAGGTTTTACCATGGCGGCTCAACGAGTTTGCTCCAAAATCTTCAAAATTCACATGTCACGCCAGAGTTGAACTTGTAAACCGGAATTAGTGAAGCAGCGAAAGTGCAAAATGCCCACCCCGTCACCGAACTGCGCCGTTACAATCTAACAGAATCTCATTGGGAGCCATTGGTTGTGTACTTTCAGTTGGGATCCGTAGAAGACATGAAATTCGATCAATACGACACCAGAAGGAAAGTCTCAAATGTGAAAACCATCAAGCGTACAACGAAGGTAAATCCAGTAAAGCTCTTGCAACACGTACCCCTCGTGCCATGACTCCGCGATTTTCGATGGGAGCCCAGAAAGTCACAGTACTAAAACTCCCATGTTCGCACCGTCTAACCGTCACAATATCCATGCGAAATCATCGTTTCAGCTGGCAGAGGAGCAGCGTACCCAGTTGATGCCGGCCGATCCTCCTGAAGACCGTGAACTGACCCTTCTGACACCACATACTTCTACGTCATCTATCGTATGTTCCATAGTTAATTTGTTAACTTCTTCATCCTTGTTCGCTGCGGATGGTGCCGCGTTTCAGGGAGTGGATTTGGCGCGGTGCCAGCCCGCTTGAGGAAGCTAGCATGTGACCACAAATAGTGAAAAACTTGCTGAAAACCCAGCCCCTTGACTCGCCACAGCGTTCGCAGCGAAGGAGGCCGTATGACAAGTCTACAAAAGCGTTGACCGTTGCTGTACTGCAGTTCACACAAGGACTAGTCATAATATATCACAAGAATGCTGAGTTGTGGGCAAAAGTCGTGCCCAAGGATTCTGGGGCCCACGACTTTTGCCCACCACGCAGCTATCTTGTGTAACTTTGCAAGCGTATTGCCGGCCGTAAAGCAGCATGTTATCAGAACAAAACTAGTTCCTAACTCACTTTACCGCCACTAGTCCGCTTCCAAACTTGTCATTTATGATCCATGAGTAACGAGCAGAGCTTATGTCAGCTTCTTATATCAGTATCTGCTATGGTCAAAGTTTCTCGCGCTGCTTCGGTCTGAGAGGGGCATTTTTGTATTCTCGCAAGAACCTTTTGGTGATCCATATTAGTGAACAGGCCTCACTCTGGTGCGACCTGTGAGAGCCACTTCGTTTACGAGAATGTACAAGTCCTTACAAGGTGGCCGCTACAGACTTCGCTGAGCACCATTTGTTGCTCCCACCAAGTCAAACTGCGCCCGTTTCCACCGTGTCCCGCTAAGAGTTTTCGCGTTCAGAGCTGGCGTTCGGGAGAGATAGCCATTGTTTGTTTTCTATTTAAAGGATCTACCGACAAGGTCTTTAATTAGATCCTTTCTGAACACGTACGAGATTGACGTGTTTGGACGAGCTGTCCTGGGTTTATGGTCCCATGACAAGAAATCTACGGCAAACACTTCGACCAATGCCATTTGAATTCCCGATGTATACTCGTGCGAAGTACGGCTTGGTGGGGCACCAGATGGTATTCAGCGAAATTTTCCTGAGCCACTTCGTGAAAACCTGTGATCTCTTGCAGCGGTGAAAGCTCGCTAATACTAACTCATAGATTCACAAGGCTTTACAGGTCCTACCGAAATGAGACCTGCTGAACAGAAAATAACAAAGAGAAGCGAACTAACGTTCCCCCCTCCCTAGGCAGCGCAGCTCATTTTCACATGAGATATTGATTAATTCTTGTTTACACAACACTGATTTTTCAGGCGAAACCAGTGGAGAAGCCTGTAGCTTGAAACATTCTGCTTTCTACCATATACTTTTTCTACAGAATAAAAACACTATTTGAATAAACCGTTTAGAAGTGATGCGCGGAAC